AATTCATGAAATTGAGGAATTCATTGATTAAATGGTGTAGTTGGATAATTTAAATCACTCGCCTATTGAATTGTTGATATATTTATTTCCAGTCTAGAAATAACTGTTTTGGGCTATCGGTGGAGGATAGTCGTGATTGTTGTAGACATTGCATGTGGACTAGGAATAACTGAAACTAATCACATTGATTAAGTCATTAATTTTGACTGTTGAATAAATACAAAAAATACGTGTATTGATTGAGCATTGCATTTGCATATTGTGTGGGAGGAGATAGGGGATGTAATCCACGGTTTAGGGGAAGATAGGGGATGGACCTCTAAACTGGATTTTTGTTTGGGAGGAGATAGGGGATGGACTCCATTAGCATCACTATTATGTGTGCTTATTATATTGAAGTGTTTTTACATGTTGTTGATACAGCACTAAAATGTGTATCAAACGGGAAGTATGAAGTGTTTTGATATGGGCCTGAGTCTCATTTGTTTGTTGATATTGGAAATAATTGTGGATATAACATATATAGTTCACTGTTGTAAGTTTGGTCAGGTTCTGAGCCTTATTGATAATAAAGAAAAGTGAAACGTGTCATTGACATTAGTGTCATGAAACTGTATAATGATGTAATTGATTATCTTGGTTAACCATCTATTGAATGCCATAGCTTTATTCATTGCTTATATTTGGTTTAGTATTTTTCTACTGGGCTGTGGCTCACCCATCATAGGAACATCATTTTCAGGTTCAGGTGATAAGCTACCTCCAAGAACTTAGCTTGGAAGGATTAAATTTTTGGATTCTGAAGACTTGTCTTTAGTTATTTGTTTTCCTTTGAGATTACATGTAAACATTCAAGCCAAGGGCTTAACTTGTAAATGAGCTAGTACTCATTCTTTTGTGTCCAAGTGATAGCCTGGAAAGATGTAAGCCCTTAGGGCATTTATTTTGATGTTACATGTAATGGCTTTCAATAAAAGTACTCTGATGAATAACTCAAATGATTCGTTTCTTTTATTAATGTATGTTATTGTTGGGTATATTATGGGTTTAATTTGAGGGCGTTACAACTTGTTATCAGAGCGTACCGGGTTTGAATACTTTGGGTACGTGGGAAGTGATTAGTATCACAATGGGTTCATCTCGTTTGTTAGAGACTTAGTATAATGTTATATGCTTACATGATAACATGTTTACGTGACTATGTGGGTATGGAATGTAGTTCTTTGGATGTCGATTGGACCTTTGAGTTTCTAGTAGTTGTAGACACCCCATTTTTGACCGACCTTAAGACTCAGACGTCACCGATTGAGCGCTTGGTGATGTTACATAATGTGCTCGTTCAGAAGTTGCAGAGTTGCGGCCGTGAGCCCTGCCTCCGGACTTCCGAACCCTCTTTTATACCTTGCCTCGGTTTGCGAACCAGACTCGGTTTTCTCTATTTCTTTTCCTGAGGAAAGGGAGAGGTCCTGTAGACCATCTCTCAATGTCCGTAGGCTACATTTGGTGGCCGTAGGCCATCTTTCCCATTTCGGAGTCCGGTTTCCGGTTTTCGGGACTGTAGGCTGTGTGCCTCGGTTCGGGACCGCTTAACCATCTCCTACTGCTCCGGTTTTTGGCATACTTCTTATTTTCTCCCTTTTGAGGGACACTGGGGTCTGAGAAACTCACTTCGCGGCCGAACGCCACTTTCGGTGCTTAACAGCCCATTTTCGGGACCCCCGAACTGCGTGTTTTGGCCCCGGAACTTTCATTTTGCAACGGTTTTCGTTCATTTTTGGCAGGTACCTCTGTTTTATCACCGGGGAGGTCACTGAAGGGTGGGAGGCCAGCAATTGTTGCAGCAACCAGTTATACATCCTTCGACGCCCTCCGGCGCCCGTTTTTCACACTTCCGGGCTAATGCCCCCTCCTTCCGGGCTAATGTTGAATACCTTGGACCCTTTTTCTCCAACTTTGAACCACATATTTGTGATGTACACACATGGAAGGACCCTAAAAGTTGGTGGCCGGCCATTAATGCTGCTTGACCCTTTTGACCCCCTCCTTCCGGGCTAATGTTGAATACCTTGGACCCTTTTCTCCAACTTTGAACCACATATTTGTGATGTACACACATGGAAGGACCCTAAAAGTTGGTGGCTGGCCATTAATGCTGCTTGACCCTTTTGACCCCCTCCTTCCGGGCTAATGTTGAACCCCTTGGGCCCATTTTCTCGAACTTTGAACCACATATCTGTGATGTACACACATGGGAGGACCCTAAAAGTTGGTGGCCGGCCATTAATGCTGCTTGACCCTTTTGAACCCCTCATTCCGAGCCAAT